AGAAACTACAAATAAATGCATCTCTCCGTGGGGGGGAGGGAGGGGAGCGAGGGGAGGGGGGAGGGGGGGTAGAGGAGTGGAGTGAAAAGCCAAACAAATGCTTGAATAAGATCTGCAGTAAGTCCCTGAGAAGCTAGCTAGATAGCCAGCTCGCTAGCAGCAGTCTTCCTGCCTCATCTTAATCTACCAGTAGCTGCACATTATAGAGCTTTCTGTTTGTCTTACAGCCAGCTCAACTTCGGCAGTGTGTCGCAGGAAGCGCGCGAGATCGCAGGCGGTGTGGAAAGTGAGGGGCATTTTCTTGGAGAACAAAGGGAAAATCAGGACAAATAATTGCAAAACAAATGCCCCATTGAAACCGAAAAAAAGATATTATAAAATGAACATTTTTCTGCTGTGATCGCAGCTGAAAGACCCAAAGTTGAATTTACCGCAGAGCTGTCGATACACCCGAAACCGCGTTTGCAAAAAGTGAAAGAAATCAAAAGGTTTCCAGTAACCCCTTCGTTGGAAATCACTTGAAAAACGTGAATAATACCATAAAAGAAATCTTTTTTCTATATTTCAATCGATATTTTCAAATAAAACCCAACAGATCCATTAGATCTCAAGATGAAAGGAGATGATAATCAACCTGCTGAATATATCAACTCACGATTATTGTTCTTCCTTTTTATGTGCGTGGCTCCGCAGGAAGCGAAAGCTCGAAGAATTGATGAATTAAATTGGACCAAAATTTGCATTATTTTGCATTCTTTTTTATTTTTTCACCTTCTAATTGAATATTTATTCATTATATCCACACGGATCAGCTTCCCAGCCCCGGCGCCGTTTACGCCGTCGTCGGCATCATGAAAACTCGCCGAGTGACCCCTCATCTTTTGATAAAAATAGTTTGAAATAAATTAATCAACATCTTCTAAAAAAGGTTTTATTGCCGATTTCACTCTTTATTCATTTTCTTCCTCAACTGTTTCGTGCAACACAGCTCCAAAATATGCTGCAAGCAGAGATCTTGAAGTACTCGAAGTCAGACAATTCAAGAAAGGAAGCTGCAGTAAAATCCCCCCAAGTCTTCACGCTTCCTGGGCACAGAATTCAAGGAGTTAGGGCTCATTAGGAGGGCAAACAACAGCAAAAAAAAGACAGAGAGATTTCTGTAATTCGCGTCTCTGCAGCACTTCTTGCTGCATCCCGTTGCCTGCTGCAAGGCGGTCACCTTAAGCAAGTTGCAGCTATAATACCCACAAAGCCCCCCTTTGGAGTATGCACAAAAACTGTAGGCAACTAACTCCTCTTAAACACTTCTTTCTAGCTCTCAGTAGCTCGCCTAAACGCCAGCAAAAATACATAAAGAAACAAATGCAGAAAGGCAAAGAAATGCTGTAGTTATTAGAAAGTGCATGCAATGAAAAACTACAGTCCGAGTCTTTCTCTCCCTATATAATCTCCTATAACTCCTCAACTGTCTGTACACCCCAACGGCCACACCATCGCTTTAATAGCGGCACCAGCAGCACACACTGCAACAGCAGCAGCAGCAGCAGCAGCAGCAGCAGCAGCAGCAAAAGCAGCAGCCAAAGCAAACGCCTTGAAGCAGCAAAGCCTGCATGCAGGCTGGGGACAACACGCCTCTTTTCTTTCAAGATAAAAGCTTGTCTGCCCTTGGGCATTTTAGAGGTTTGTGTTTATTAACAAAAATAAAAAACAGATTATACAAACAGAAAAAGATATACGTTTCTTACCAGCACCTCACGCCCTCTCATCTGCGACAAACAACAAAGGCCTCTCAGCCTCTCAATGAATAAGAGGGTGTGTCTAGGGGCCCCTGGGGGGGCCCCCTGGGGGCCCCTAGAGAGACCCTCTTATTTATTCAAACCCTCGTATCATCATTAGGTGACCCTACGGGGGATCTTTTGCTGCCCCTCCCTGGGGGCCCCTCCTGTAGGGGCCCCCTTCTTGGGGGCCCCCTTAGAGGTGCCTTTGCTTCTTCTTTTGTTTTGTGTAGAGAGGCCCCCTTCTTCGGGTGTTAGAAGTGCGTCATTAGCCTCCTATTGCAGATCCCCAGGGCCCTTTATGCACTTCGCCCCACTTAAGGGATTTGAGCTTTAATAGATCTACGCCTTCATAAGCAAAAGCTAAACGAAGTCTTTGATGTTTCTGCTGCAGTCGCCTCTGTCTGCTGTAATATCCGCGGTGTATAAACGCCCGCTTCCTCGGCCTCTTGTCGCTCCGCACTTTGTTGCATAAATAACCCAACTCATCTAAAGCCCGCCCCACAGGGGCCCCCAAAGGTTCCCTTAGAGGGGCCCCCACAGGGGCCCCCATAGGGGCCCCCACAGGTTCCCCCAGAGGGGCCCCCATAGGGGCCCCCAGAGGAGTCTGTATGGGGGCCCCCAAAGGGGCCCCCAGAGGAGTCTGTATAGGGGCCCCCAAAGGGTCCCCCAAAGGGGGGAGTATGGGGGCCCCCACAGGACCCTCTAAGGGGAAGCCAAGGGGGGCCCCACCAGGGGCCCCTATAGGGGCCCCCATAGGGGTGTCTACTGGGGATACAAAAGGGTCCTTCAATGAGGCCCCCAGGGGGGCCCCTGTAGGGGCCCCCATAGGGGCCCCCAGAGGGTTGGTTGACTTCGCTTTCAAAACGCTTTGAGGGGTGGCTTGGGGGGCCCCCCTGGGGGAAGATAACCCGGATAGGGGCCCCACAAGGGGGCCCCCTTTGTTCAAGGAGATAAGATAGGAAAGAGCTGGGGGCCCCTTTATAAGGTCTGATAAAGAACAAGAAAGCAGCAGGGGCCCCCGTAGGATAGAGGGGGGGGCCCCTAAAGAAGATACTTGCTGCAAAGTCGGAGACAACGCGGAGGAAGACAAACGCGAAAAACCCCAACTGCTGCTGCTGCTGCTGCTGCTGCTGCTGGGGTTGCTGCTGTTGCTGCTGCTGTGTTGCTGCTGCACTGCTTCCAGCAACAACTCAACTGAGGGAGAGACAGTCGGGCAGGGCCCCTGCTTGTTGAGGCCAAGCACAAAAGGATATTCAGACACACCTCTTCTCCACGTTGCTGCTGCTGCTGCTGCTTGGGTTGCTGCTGCTGCTGCTGCTGCTGTTGCTGAGGGCGCTGTTGCTGCTGCTGATCCCGCAGCAGCTGCTGCTGCTGGAGCTGTTGCTGCAGCTGCAAGGAGACCCCCAAGAAGGGGGGTTGCAGCCTTCGCCGCTAATGGTAGGCGCTGCATTGCTGCAGCTATCTATTAATTCTGCAGCAGCAGCAGCAGCTGCTGCTGCTGTTGTTGTTTTTGTTGCAGTTGCTGCAGTTGTTGCTGCTGCTGCTGCAGTGCGTCGGGGGCCCCCGCTGCAGACTTCTGTTTAAAATAGAGAGGAGGCCGAAGCCCTATTCAAACTGTCATCAAATAAATAAAATTATTATTTGTTTATTACTACTCTAAATAATAAACCCTAAACCCTAAACCCTAAACCCTGCGCACAGCCACAGAAGCCAGCTGAGGCCCCTCTCGCCTTCATTGAGGGCTGGCTAGGGTTTAGGGTTTAGGGTTTAGGGTTTATGGTTAAGCGTCTAGGGTTTAGGGTTTTCGGGTATATCTTCTGCTGAAGGGTTTTGTTTCTTTAGGGTTTAGGGTTTATGAAGGGTAAACCCTAATATCTGATCTTCTTGCTGCAAACCCTAAACCCTAGCAGCAAACCCTAGTTGTTTTCAGTGTCTTGATCTTTAAAACCCCTATCCTTAATTCCTAAACCCTAAACCCTAATTACTAAACCCTAAACCCTTATTTCCAGCATTACGCCTTCGAATTGAAGGCTTCTTCAGGTACTAGGGTTTAGGGCCTAGGGTTTAGGGTTTAGGGTTTAGGGTTTAGGGTTTAGGGTTTGGGGCGTATCGGAGGTCGTGTTACAAGTTGCAGCGATGGTTTTGCTTCCTCCTCACGCTGGCCATGGGCAGTAGGGCTGCTGCCTTTCGCCTGCTGCTGCTGCTGCTGCTGCTGCTGCTGCCGCTGCTGCCGCTGCTGCTGCTGCTGCTGGGGTTTGCAGATGGAAGTGCTGCTGTCTGTGGGGAGGGGGGCCCCCCTCTGCTGCCTTCATTTCTCAGGGCCCCTTCGCACCTCTGGCCAGCAGCAGCAGCAGCAAGAACAGCAGCAGCAAGAACAACAACAACAGCAGCAGTAGCAACAGCAGCAGCTGCTGCTGCTGCAGCAAGCAGCAGCAGCAGCTGCTCCGCAAGAAAACCAGTTCTCTCTCTGTGTGGCCCCACACATACATTAAGCAGCTTCTCTTATCCGGGTTGCTGCTGGGCTCGTCTGCATGCACTCAGCAACAGCAGCAGCAGCAGCAGCAGCAGCAACAGCAGCAGCAGCAGCAGCAGCAAGTGTGATAAGGGCATCGTTGAGTGCTCTAGCGGCTACAGGGATAAACAGAAGATAGCAGCAGCAGCAGCAGCAGGTGCAACGGCCACGAAAGATATTGCTGCAGATCGAGCAGCTGCAGCAGCAAGAGCAGATGAAGCAGCAGCAGCAGCAGCAGCACAGATACCAGCAGCATCAGCAACAGCACCAGCAGCAGCCACAACAGCAGCAGCAGCAGCAGCAGAAAGACGGCTGCTAAACGCTGGCATGCAGGCTTTGGGCCTCTGTATTAAAGCAGGAGACATCGCAGCAGCACTGCAGCAGCTGCAGCAGCTGCTGCAGCTGCTGCCACAACTTAAAGGGCCAGCAGCAGCAGATTCAGCAACAGCAGAAGATTCAGCAGCTGCAGCACCAGATTCAGCAGCAGCTACAGCAGATTCAGCAGCAGCAGCTGCTGCTGCTGGGGGGGGTCAGACAACCGCAGGAGCAACAGCAGCAGCAGCAGCAGCAGGAGTTCTTGGAGCTGCTAGCGGCGTGCTTAACCTTGCTGCTAGGCAGCAAGATGCTGCTGCAGCGCAGCAAGTGCTGCTGCTGCTGCAGCAGCACCGGCTGCTGCTGCCTATACACCCGGACGTGGCTTCTTCTTTTGTTGCTGCTGCAGGCGCAACTGGGAATGCAGCAGCAGCAGGAGCGATGCTGGCATTGCTGCAGCAGCAGCAGCAGGAAGTGCAGCAGCGAGCTGTTGCTGCTGCTGCAGAGCAGCTGCTGCTGAAGCAGCAGCTGGGTTGGAGAGCCTTTAGGGAGTCTGGGTTGCTGCTGCTGCTGCAGCGCCGCAGATGTCTCCCCTCACAAGAGATAATCTTAAAGCTGCTGCTGAACGAAGTGCTGCTCACTGCTGCTGCGCTGCAGCAGCAACAACAGCAGCAGCAACAGCTGCAGCAGCAGCAACAACAGCAGCTGCAGCAGGAGCAGCAGACAGCAGAGGATTTAGAGCGGCTGCGAGTTGAGGGGCTTTTAGCAGCAACTGCTGCTGAGATGCAGCTGCTGCAGCAGCTGCAGCAATCCGTCAAGGAGTCGATGCTGCTGCTGCAGCAGGCAGCGGAAGTGCAGCCACCCCTATCGCTGGAAGCAGCAGCAGCAGCAGCAGCAGCACTGCAGCAAACATGTTTGCCGCTGCTGCACTTGGCGCCCTGCAGCGCAGCAGCAGCGCGGCCTCTACCCGGCTCCCCCGCAGCAGCAGCAGCAGCAGCAGCAGCACCTCCTGCTGCTGCTGCTGCTGCTGCAGCAAGGACCTGCATGCACTGCAGCAGCAAACTGGGGTGTGTAGGTTTGGGGCTGAGGGAAAGGCGGCTGCTGCGGCTGGGGGTTCTGAGGCTTGCTGCTGCAGCAGGACATAGACAGCTGCGGCGTTTGCTGCACTTCGAGTTGCTGCTGCAGCAGCAGCAGCAGCAGCAGCAACAGCAGCAGCAGCAGCAGCAACAAGGCGGGGGGTTTACTGTTATTTTAGATGCAGCTAATATCGCATACAATCGACAGAACAAAGCAACTGGCAAATTCTGCTACGCTCAAGTAAACCCTAAACCCTAAACCCTAAACCCTAAACCCTAAACCCTAACCTCACAACCCCAAGCCTCAAACCCTAAACCCTAAACAGCTAACCTGAAGCCCTAAACACTCCACACTAAACCCTAAACCCGACGGGTAGGAGATGCAGGCAGCCCATTAGATGTAGCTGTTGCTGCTGCTGCAGCAGCAGCTGCTGCTGCTGTTGCTGCTGTTGCTGGCGCCTTCTCGGCAGCAGCCATTGCTACCGCTGCTGCTGCTTTTATTGTTGATGCCTTTGATACTGCTGGGACAGTTGCTGCCTGTTGCAGACGGGGTGTGTTAATTGTTGCTGCTGCTGTTGCTGCTGCTGTTGCTGCTGCTGCTGCTGCTGCTGCTGCTGTTAGGTGGAGCGTCTTCGGCAGGCGTTGGTAGCGAGAGGAGAAAGGCCTTTGATAATTATCCCTGGTGTTTATTTCTGGGGTTTGAAGCAAAAGCAGCGTGTTGCTGCTGCTGCTGCTCCTGCTCCTGCTGCTGCTGCTGCGTCCGCATGGAGGCGGGGAAGGCAGCAGCTGCAGCACGGCAGCAGCAGCAGCAGCGACTCCTACAATAGCAGCAGCAGCAGCAACAACAACAACAATGTCCTGTGTGAGCTGGGGCTATGCCCTAAGTGCAGCGACGAAATGCAGGTGCCGAACCAGAGCAAGCGATGCAGCAGCAGCAACAGCAGCAGCAGCAGCAGCAACAGCAGCAGCAGCAGCAGCAGGGGAAAGAAGACGCAGAAACTAACATGCCAAGACAGGGCCCTGCTGCAGCAATGGCAGCAGCAACGCTGTTTATTTGTCTGCGGCTCTGGGGCACATGATGATCACTACCATCTACTTGCAACCCTAGCGGGGCCCCTCAGCAGCAGTAGCAGCAGCAGCAGCAGCAGCAGCAATAGCAGCAGCAGCAATAGCAGCAGCAGCAATAGCAGCAGCAAAGGAGAGGAGGGCGCCCTACAACAGCACCTGCTGCTGCCACCGCCACCATCTCTTGACCAAATCCTCGCGCCGCTGCAGCAGCAGCTCCGGCAGCAACAGCAGCAGCAGCAGCAGCAGCAGCAGCAAGAGACAGCACTGCCGCCAGTAGTTGCAGTATTGAGACGCCACCTTTTGGGCCCCCCCTTATCGGATCAGCAGCTGCTGCAGCAAATTCTCTCCTTGCCAGAGCAGCAGCAGCAGCAGGAGCAGCAGCAGGAACAGCAGCAGCAGGAACAGCAGCAGCAGGAACAGCAGCAGCAGGTATGTTGTGGTTTGCCGAATGCTTTGAACGAGGGGCCTTTATCTGCTGGAGTCTTTCTCCCGAAGCAGCAGGAACAGCAGCAGCAGCAGCAGCAGCAGCAGCAGCAGCCCCACGAGCCTTCTCCTCTTCCTCTTCCTGAGCAGCAGCAGCAGCAGCAGCAGCAGCAGCAGCAGCAGCAGCAGCAGCAGCAGGAAGAAGGAGCATATTTACCGCTGCCGCTGCTAACCAATGACAGATTTAGAGACCATCGATTGGCGTCGCAGCTGCGGCTGCCGTTTATGCACTGGCGGCAGCTAACTTTGCTTCCGTTTGCTTTTCAGCAGCAGCAGCAGCAGCAGCAGCAGCAGCAAGCAATGCTGCATCTAGGGGTTGCAAACAATAGACTGGGGATGAGAAGGGATAAAGCCTTCTTCGGCTTTGAAGCTCACCAGCTGCTGCACCAGCAGCAGCAGCAACAGCAGCAGCAGCAACAGCAACGCGTCAAGGGACAACAAGGGATGAAGCAGCAGCAGCAGCAGCACAAGCTGCAGCAACAGCAGCAAAACCAGCAGCAACAGGTACACCTCAGCAAAGGCCTAAACAGCTACTCAGTAGTGCAGAACTCCGAGGGGCTGCAGCAGCAGCAACAGCAACAGCAGCAGCAGCAGCAGCAGCAGCAGCAGCAAATGACCGAGGGTAGGAAGGAGGCGCGGCTGCAGGAACAGCGCGAGCGCGGCTTCTTTGCGTGTGCACCTGCTGCTGTTGTTGCTGCTGCTGCTGCTGAGGCGCAGCAGCAGCAGCAGCCAGCAGCATCTGGCTGGCCGTGGATGCGGCACATGGAGCAGCAGCAGCAGCAGCAGCAGCAGCAGGGGCTGCTGCATTGGCAGCGAGGCAGCAGAGCCCTAGAGGATATCTTCGCTCCTCCTGGGGCCCCGCTGCTGTTTGTAGGCGAACGGAGGCTTGTTACTGCGCGCGTGCAGCAGCAGCAGCAACAGCAGCAGCAGCAGCAGCAGGAAGGAGAAGAGCCTCATGAGGTCTGGCATATCCCTGTAGAAGGTCCCCGCGAAGCAGCAGCAACAGCAGCAGCAGCAGCAGCAGCAGCAGCGGCGGCAGCAGCTTCGGCATCTAGTTTTTTCTCGTTGCAGCCTCAGCAGCAACAACAGCAGGAGCAGCAAGCAGCAGCAGCAGCACTAGCAGCAGCAGCAGCAGCAGCAGCAGCAGCAGCAGCAGCGCCGCCTTTGCACTGGATGAAGGCAGTAGACAATCCCTCAGCTTGGCAGCAGCAAGAAGCTCTCGAGGGAGACAAACGGTGGTTAGGCATCAACACTAAGCCCATCAAACAGCAAATTGCTGCTGCTAAACGCAGGCTGCTGCTGCTGCTGCAGCAGCGGGAGCAGCAGCAGCAGCGGGAGCAGCAGCTGCAGCGGGAGCAGCAGCAGCAGGAAGAGTGGGAGCAGCATTTGGAGCAGCACCAGGAGTAGTAGTAGCAGCAGCAGCAGCTGCTGCTGCTGCTGTTTCATTATTTGCCGATAAGCACGGATTTGTTGCGAAAGGCTGCTGCTGCTAGTGCAGCAGCAGCAGTGGCCGCAGCAGCACCTGCTGCTGCAGCAGCAACAGCAGCAATCGTAGCATATATAGCAGCAGCAAACGCTGCTATCAATGCTGCAGCAGCAACAGTATACTGCCGTCTATTGCTGCTTCCTTTTTCAGCAGCAGCAGCAACTGCTGCTGCATCTGTTGCTGAGCCCGTTGTTCTTGCCGCGGCAGCAACAGCAGCAGCGACAGCAGCAGCAGCAGCAACAACAGCAGCAGCAGCAGTAGCAACAGCAGCAGCAGCAATAGCATTGGCTGTCTTCTCTGAACATTTTAAACTCCAGTTATACAAAACAAAGTATGAAAATTAAATAAAACAGAGAGGGAGAGACCATCAGTCGCAGCTGCTGCTACTGTTCTTGCTGCTGCTAGTGCAGCTGCTGCTGCTAATGCTGCTGCTGCTGCTGCTACTATTGCTGCTGCTGCTACTATTGCTGCTGCTGCAAATTCTGCTGCTGCTGCTGCCTAATAGCCCTAGTTTTTAGGGACAGCAATTGCTGCTGCTGCTGCATTTGGTGCTGCTAGTGCAGCAGCCGCCGTCGCTTGTGCAGTTGTTGCTGCTGCAGTTGCTGCTGCTGTTGCAGCAGTTGCTGCTGCTGCACTTCTTATGCCCTCCTCTCTCTCTCCATTCAAAGTAACGCCGAAGAGAATAGAGAGAGACAGGATGTACAGCAGCAAATCTGGCTATGTAGCAGAAGAAGCGCTCTTCTTCTTCTTCTGCTGCTGCTGCCTCTGCTGCTGCTGCTGCTGTTGTTGCTGCCTCTGTTGCTGCTGCGTCTAGTGCTGCTGCTGATAGCGGCTTTGCTGCTTCTTCTGCTGCAGGCATTGCTGCATTCGCTCCCATTTCTGCTGCCTCTACTGGTATTGCTGCTGCTGCTGCTGCCGGCGTTGCTGCAGTTGGTGCTGCTGCTGCTGCTGCTGCTGCTGCTGCTGCTTCTGTGGGGTTGGGGTCTATAAAGAAGTGCAGCGGGAGAGGAAGCTGCTGCGGAGTTATATTGACTCTAGCTAAGCAGATGCCTAGAAAAACATCTTCATTATACACCTCAGGTACCTGCGTAGACACTGCAGCAGCAGCAGCAGCAGCAGCAGCAGACAGCACATATAGAGCACCAACTGCATATAAAGGATATAAAGAAAATGAGTATATATCTTCAGGCTCGAAGCTCTTCTCTGTCTCTTGTCTTACAACAACACCGCCGTGTCTCCCTTTCTTAACAGCCCCATACACAACAGCAGCAGCAGCAGCAGCTTCTTGCTGCTGCTGCTGCTGCTGCTGCTGTTGCTGTTGCTGTAAGTGCTGCTGCAGCAGCAGCAGCAGCTTCCGCCGCTGCTGCAGCAGCACGTCCCCATCTATCTTAATAAGGAATGAAGCCTCAGGGCATTCAGCAGCAAACCACTGCAGCAGAGAAGCAGTTTTTGCTGCTAAAGTAGAGTAGCTCTCACGAGGAGACAGCAGCAGCATGTCTCCTGCTGCTGCTGCTTCTGCTGCTACAGCAGCGGCAGCAGCAGCAGCAGCAGCAGCAGGAGTACATACAACAAACAAACGCTTTATATCTAACAACTCAACACCTCCTTCTCTCCCCCAGCTGCTGCGAATTTGCTGCCGCAACTCAAAATCTGCTGCTGTTGTATAGATCGCCAGCAGCACAAACCACCTGCTGCTGCTGCTGCTGCTGCTGTAGCTGCTGCTGCTGCTGCTGCTGCTGCAGCCTTTTATTCGCGGGTATATAAGGATCTGCCAGGTCTGCACAGGAGACACTCCAAGGGGCCCTTTAATTGTGCTGCTACGCGTTGCTGCTGCTGTTGCTGCTGTTGCTGTTGCTGCTGCTGCTGCTGCTATGGCTGCGCTGTGCGCTGCTGCTGCTGCTTCTGCTGCAGTGTTGTCTTCGTATCTCTCCAGTGCATCATCATCGGCTACTGCTGTTGCTGCTGCTGCTGCTGCTGCTGCTGCTGCACGCCGAGCAGCAGCGCGCAGCATTCCGCTAGGGCTGATGTCAGGGCCCCTCCTGTGCTGCTGCTGCTGTTGCTGCTGCTGCTGCAGCAGCAGCAAGAAAAACAGCACCACCAGCAGCATAAACCAACCCAAGAAGAACGGGCGGAGAAGAGGATTCCCGACTATACCCTGAAATACAAACCCTAAACCCTAAACCCTAAACCCTCAACCCTGAACACTAAACCCTCAACCCTAAAGCCTAAACCCTAAACGCTAAACCCTAAACGCTAAACCCTGAACGCTAAACGCTAAACCCTAAACCCTTAACCCTTTAACCTACACCCTAAACCCTAAACCCTAAAACCCTAAATCGTAAACCCTAAACCCTAAACCCTAAACCCTAAAGCCTTGCTTACATGTTGCCTTCCTGTTTGTGTTTTGCATTCGTTTTGTCTGTACGGATATCCACTTGCTGCAGCAAAAGGAGACACATCGATATCGCTCTTGCTGCAGCTGCTGCTTCTGCTGCTGCTGCTGCTGCTGCTGTCGGCGCTGCTTCTGCTGCTGCTGTCGCCGCTGCTTCTGCTGCTGCTGCTGCCGCTGCTTCTGCTGCTGCTGTCTGCAGCTGTGGAGCGCAGGCTGCTGCTTCGGTTGCGGCACCAGACGCTTCTCCTGCTGCTGCTTTTATTTCCTCTGCTGCTGCTGCTGCTGCTTTTGCTGCTGCTGTTGGTTCCGGAGCAGCTGTCGCTGCTGCTGTTGTTGCTGCTGCTGCTGTTGCTGCTACTGCTGTTGCAGGTGCTGCTGCTGCTGCTGCTGCTGCTGCTTTCGGTACTGGGGGCTGTCATTATAGCTGCAGCAGCAACGGGAGCCCCCGCAGCTGCAGCAGCGTCAATAACACAGCCCCTTCAGTAGCCGCAGCAACAATACTGCAACAGCAGCAGCAACAGAAGCAGCAGCAGCAGCAGCAACAGCAGCAGCAGCAATTGTTGCTGCTGTCCTGAGATGTCTTCCCTGCGCCTCTTTCTGGGCTAACAAATTCGCAGCCTTCAAAAAACGTAAAGAAAAGATAAAGCTTGAGGGTTTGTAGCAATAACTTAAGGGTTTAGGGTTTAGGGTTTAGGTGTACGAGCGCAGCCCTTGTGGAGCAGAGTAGGGTTTAGGAGATGATGCTAAGGGTTTTGTGTCTGAGGCCCGATGCGTTGAGACAGAGTCCCTTTTCGAAGAATTAGGGTTTAGGGTTTAGGGTTTAGGGTTTAGGGTTTAGGGTTTAGGGTTTAGGCGATCTTCTCGGGCTCGTCTCGCTCTGGTGAAAGAAAGACAGACTGCTTAATCGAGAATAATTATATATTTAATTAAAATTATTAATTTTAAAAATTATAAATTACATGCCTCGAAACCCTAGCCCGTAAACCCTAAACCCTAAACCCTAAACCCTCAGCCGCAGTGCTCGCGGTTGCAGCTGAGTATCTATGTGCGTTTTAAATATAATTTTAAATATAATGCATTAAAATATAATTAATTAAACTAATGAATTTATTTTAAAGGTAATCCACAAGGAAAAACACAGAATCGACAGAGTTCAGGGTTTAGGGTTTAGGGTTTAGGGTTTACGGTTTACGGTTTGCAGCTAGCAGCGAAACCGCTTTGTTGCTAACGCTCTCTAGTAGCTGCTTCTTTATATAAAGAATTGCTTGTCTTGTTTGTCTATAGATATAAACATAAATATTCTTACGTTAGTTCTTTATATCTATTTATTTATTATTATTTATCATTTACTGTTTATTATTTATTATTTATTACTTCTATTTTGCTAAAGCAGCGATTCAAACAAATACAAAAAAGTTTTTCTTCTTACTTAGACCTACATAAATACATTTATAAATATATATATAATATATATAAAATATATAA